TGCGGTAGAGAAGACTCCCAAAGGACATCCAATCAAGGTCCTAAACTGAACTTGTGTGGTGAAACGGTGGTTGACTATTCTGGGGATTGTGAATCCCGGAAATATTCAAAAGGATGGGAACGTAAACCAGGGTTGAGATTTCCATCCAGATATATCATTTTCTAAGAGTGATAAGATGTTCGGATCCAATGGTGATTGGGACCTGTATAACAAAGAAGAGCCCTCACGTGCTGTAGTGAGAGAGTGAAATAATCCGATTACCAGTTTGTGTGATCCTGTTCCATGCCCGACCTGTCAAAATTCATGTATGGGTTCCTGGTCTACACGCCACCTACGAGATAGGGTATAATATAGTGAGACTCGTAGGTCCCTGTATCCCTGACTGTCCAGGCACATAACTCCCAGAGTAGGCCCTAGGTCAAGGGACCCAGGAATGTGAATTCAAGAAACCGAAGTCAAGGCCTCCCTTCTTAGCTTGGAGTCCCGTGAACACATAGCATTCTCTAATACACAGACAAGACGCAAAGTCCCTTCACTCATGACAGGTGACTCCAGAGAGCAGATATAACGAAAAAACAAGGGCCTAGCTTCAACCCTCCGAAGCAGGTGTTGTCCCGTTTGAGAACGTCAGCAGCCATATCCGAGCCTGCTACACATCCTGAGCAGTACTCCAGCGGTAGGTCCCAACTTGTGACGTCCGTGTAGGAGCCAGGGACACACAGGGTTCCTCCATAGAGTCCACAGTAGGTCTCCTTGATGTTAGTTGAATAGGTGGGTTAGCGAGAACCCAAACCAAGACGGTTCCCGTGAGGGATATAGAGTATAGAAAGAGGGCCCTCCATATCCAAACCTTGTTCTCCAGATATGTGCTCAGAGGAGTAGGGGCAGTCCTGTCATCTCATCCCAAGATTGTAATAACCAAAGAACCCAAGTCGACAGAGGATTCCGGTCTTTCCATGTGATCCATGTGCACGGTGTATCTGCAGACCGGGCTGTGGGCCTTCCCTAGTCTTGTTAACCGAGCAAGGCGGTGCCCGTTTGCTCTATGAAGGTCTCAGGATCTCATGTTACCTTGACATGGGAAAAAACTGTCTGCGCAGTTTGTTCGCAATGGTCTGAATATCTTAAACAGAGTGCAGTTGCCTGTTTGATATAGCACAGATTATACCAAAAACTGCACTCTTGTAACAACTGGGGCTCATCCGTTAGCCGTACCGTCTCCAGGAGTGTGTGTAAATAAGCAGGGAATCTTCCCCCAGTAATACATCTGTGAGTATTTCTCACGTGGGATACTGTGGTCCGGATCCAGTAGATCCATTATAGGAGGTGAAATAGAGAGATCCAGTCCAAACATGTATACCCTGCATGATCAGGCAGCCCTCTATAACGAAATCGGTAGCACGGTCGTTAGATCTAATTGAATGCAGGAGGGACGCCCCTCTATGCAGTCATCGTTGTCCTGTATAGGTACAAGACTGTGATGAAAAAACGGACGGCACCGTACTGCGTTGAGTGGATGAGAGAGCCGCACTCTCTAATAATGTGACCGAACTCCGTGTCAGCGCCCGGCTGATAGCATGAGCGGGCCGCACCCATTAATAACCAAACATTAGAGTCTACATTCGTGTACGGTTCTCTCTATGAGAATGTGTCACTCAAGACATGTCCTCTGTATCCAGCACAGTAACGGGCTGAGGTTGAGGCAGGGCCACACCCTCTAATAATGAATCAGTGTCCAGTTCAGTCTATGAGAGGGGTTCGCTCTCTACTCGTGAAAATAAAAATATCAGTCTCAGGCTGAGGCGATGGAGGGCCGCACCCTCTTGTAATCCAAAGCTAGAGTCCATTAGAGACTCAGGGTGACCAACTGCGGGGTACATCTGTCACGTGCGTGGGCTATAGGCCCAGCCGAGACAGTGGGGAGAGTGTGGAAGTGACAGGGTTAATGACACCAGACCCCTGGTTACCTGTTGCTAGTCCCAGCAACCACTCAATTAACCCCTGCAATCCCTTCTACACTATCCCCCTTAGTACACTTTACTGCCACCACCAAGACTTTTAAACCCGGGCGTCTTAGGTTACCCCACACACAGGAGAATTATAGTATCACAGTTCTACTTTTACTGATAAAACATATATAGTTAACCCTTTTTGGTAACGTGTTTACCTGAGCTTTCCTCTGGAGAGTGAAGCTCATAGAGAACAGAGACACAAGCTGATTAAGTAAACATTTAATCTGACAAAAAGGATTCACAGTGCTGAGTACAAAATACAGAAATAAATGACATACAGATAACAAATTGCAAAACAGTACATAAAATAAAATAGGAGAAAACACAAGAAATTCCTTACATATATTTACCCCATATAGAATTCTTGTGGGAGTCTTAGATGGTATAGATCTCCTAGAAGTTACTGACAAAAGAAAAATGAATAACTGACTTCCCTGGATAGTCCAACACCCTCATATATCTAAACTAGTTGTTTCTCAGTGGGCAGACCCCTGGGGGGGGGATCAGAGGGGGCTGGTCTGGCAGTCTATTGTCCACTCTATGAAATTCCTTGTGTCCAGCTCTGGTGATGGCTATCTAGATGTTTTATGGTCTAGGCCTGGTGCAGGATCAAAGACCACAATAAATGTCATCCCAAGGTTTACAAAAAAACTACTCTTAACATATATAAACACACATCAAACACCAACTCATGCTTTTGGCATGACACCTCCCCCTTAAGATGGTGGACAGAAAAATTCAGCCACAGGCTGATTTATCTGTCTACCATTAACCCTCTAGTTGCCGAGACAGGCCATCTGCCCTTTTTGTGCTGGGCAGTGAAATTATACTGTTGGAGGATAGGGCTCCAATAGAGCAGTTTATCAGTGTTACCTGTCACCTGCAGCAGGTTGTGATCAGTCCAAACCACAGCTACACCCTCAACAAACATGCCTGATTTGCCTGTTTCAATTTCCCATCGATCTCTGGTAACATCCCTTAAACCACACCCACTGCGCTCATGTAGTAGCTGTAAGGGGAAGAAACCAATGGATTTCTGCAGCACTCCCCGGTAAGCACACAAAAAAGCAGACAGAGAACACTCCCAGGATAGATGCGCTGTATCAACACCCATCATCTCTTTCATTTTGCGGTCTGTCTGCTGGGCTTGTTGCACTATCAGACTCTGAACCTTTGGTTCACAATCAGAAAGTTGCTTAGGTGTATGCGTGAGTTGTGATAAACTGACAAGGTTCCTGGTTCCTCCAACAGTATGTTTCCCTGCAGCCATCCTTCCTGGACCCACAGGCTGAGTCTGCCCGTGCCCCTCACTTTCACTCCAGGTCATCACACATACCGAACTTTGGAAACTGGCTAAGCCTGCCGCAGAGTCAAGCTCACACACCCTCTGCCCTCCCTCATAGCCTTGCTGTCCCTGCACATTTTCACCCACCACATCACATACATCTGCTTCAGGCACATATTGGCACATATATTCATTCAGCCCCCTCTCGCTGGAAGGCTTTTCCCATACATTTTCACAGGACACATTTGACCCCCCTTGATCAGATACAGAATTTTGCACACACTCACATAATTTCTTCTCCAAGGCAGGCCCTCCTCTCACAATCTTACATAGCACCTCAGACTGTCCTGCTGCAGCCCTGACCCACTGTTGACTTGTTACCACTGCGACTAGTTTTACACATCCCTGGCTCTCACCTTCCTCCTCCCCCTTACTCTCTGACATCCCAGCCTCACAGTATTTTGATACAGGCACATCACTACTCACCCCTATCTCACATTTGGTAGACATCACTGGTTCAGTTACAGGTAGATATTTATCCACACCCTGCTCTCCCTCCCAGCAATCACACTTCACAATGTCTCCCAAAGTTTCACACAATACATTAGGTGGAGCAGTCAGTCCTGGCTCACAAACAGTGTCCTCTGGAGCATAGTGGCAGAGCATCCTGCCCAAATCATTCCCCAACAGAACATTAACAGGGATATCCTCCGAAACCCCCACTTCCCGCAAACCTTTGCCCGCACCCCAATCAAGGTACACACATGCCAGGGGCACAGCGGGACGCACACCCCCAATTCCTTTGATGGACATGGTTCTTCCAGGGATTATGTCCTCCGTATTCACCACTTCAGGGCGCACCAGGGTGAATGAAGCTCCAGAATCTCTCAGTCCCACGGTCACTTGGTCACCCACAATTACACTCTGCAGGTTATCCTCTCGTTTCCCCACAGACCCACCCACAAGCAATACTGATGGTGCCCCTCCACGGGCTGGTGAGGGCATATTCCTAGTGGGGCAAGTCCTGCTCAGATGACCAATCTGGTTGCATCGAAAACAACGGCGGGCATCTGACTCACTTGACATAGCCCCGGCTACGCTGGCAGTCGGCGGTGAAGTTCTCACTGCAGATCTTACAGGTGGTGATTGAACTGTAGCTTCTCTCCAGGTCGAAGTAGCAGCTGACACAAGTCCACGCCTGGATGTGGGTGCATGGATGTCGGCATAGTCATCTGCCAGTTCTGCAGCAGCCCTAGCATTTTTTGGCTTTCTTTCCAAAATCCACTCTCTTACATTAGGGCTCCGGGTCTGCAAGAACTGCTCTAGGACCAGTAAGTCATTAAGGGCTTCATAGGTAGTAGCTTGTACTCCTGTTACCCATTGCCGGAACGTGGTTTCTAATTGTGCAACATATAGAATGCAGCTGGATGATGGGCATTGCTGCATACTCCTAAACTTTTTCCTGTAAGACTCAGGAGTAAGGTTAAAAGTTTTTTGCAATGCAGATTTGATTGCCTCATAGTTGTTATCAGTCTCTGGGGGAAGGGACACAAACACATCCAAGGCTTTCCCTTTCAGTTGTGGAGTTAAATATCTGCCCCACTGGTCTGAGGGTAGTTGATGCTGCCTGCATACTTTCTCAAAACTTTTTAAGAATACATCCAAATCTGTCCCTTCTTCGAGGGAAGGAAAATCATCCTTACGGAGCCTACGTGTGCTGGACTCTGATGCATTGCTGTTCAGTGAGGACTGAAGGGTAAATTGCAGTTTAGCAAGTTCCAGCTCATGTCTCCTTTGTGCCTCCCTTTCGGCTAGCCTCTCTGCAGATTCCCTTTCTGCAGCCTGCTGTTGGATCATCACATGCAGGGCCTCCTGAGGATTTGCAGCCATCAGTTGCCGAAATAAATCAGTTGAGCAAATGTCCTTAATGTTTTGAGGGGTACAACCACCAGGCATTTCAGTAAGCAACACTCCTGCAGTAGTAGGGAGCTCGGTAACCCTTTCAGTGTCCGTCTCTGGCTGGAAAATATGGCTGTCAGCCTCCACAAGGTCAGCAATAAGTTGTGCCTTATTTTTGCCAAAAGTTGGTAAATTCTTTTCTTGGCACAACAATTCCAAGGCCTCTTTTGATTGTTTGCGATAGGCCTCCATATTCACAAATAGGATAGAGAAAGAAAAACAAAAGATGGGAGGGGAGAACTGTTTTGCACTTTGTATGTATTTTAAATCAGCACTGAGCTTGGTCTTTGGAAATTACACAAAAACAAGTATGCAATTTCTTTTAGTGCTAAGACCCCCTTTACAGGTAAAATCTAGCAAGCACTAAAAATCTCTAAATATATCCCACTAGCTGCCGCCAGTTTGTCACGTGCGTGGGCTATAGGCCCAGCCGAGACAGTGGGGAGAGTGTGGAAGTGACAGGGTTAATGACACCAGACCCCTGGTTACCTGTTGCTAGTCCCAGCAACCACTCAATTAACCCCTGCAATCCCTTCTACACTATCCCCCTTAGTACTACTGCCACCACCAAGACTTTTAAACCCGGGCGTCTTAGGTTACCCCACACACAGGAGAATTATAGTATCACAGTTCTACTTTTACTGATAAAACATATATAGTTAACCCCTTTTGGTAACGTGTTTACCTGAGCTTTCCTCTGGAGAGTGAAGCTCATAGAGAACAGAGACACAAGCTGATTAAGTAAACATTTAATCTGACAAAAAGGATTCACAGTGCTGAGTACAAAATACAGAAATAAATGACATACAGATAACAAATTGCAAAACAGTACATAAAATAAAATAGGAGAAAACACAAGAAATTCCTTACATATATTTACCCCATATAGAATTCTTGTGGGAGTCTTAGATGGTATAGATCTCCTAGAAGTTACTGACAAAAAGAAAAATGAATAACTGACTTCCCTGGATAGTCCAACACCCTCATATATCTAAACTAGTTGTTTCTCAGTGGGCAGACCCCTGGGGGGGGGGGGATCAGAGGGGGCTGGTCTGGCAGTCTATTGCCCACTCTATGAAATTCCTTGTGTCCAGCTCTGGTGATGGCTATCTAGATGTTTTATGGTCTAGGCCTGGTGCAGGATCAAAGACCACAATAAATGTCATCCCAAGGTTTACAAAAAAACTACTCTTAACATATATAAACACACATCAAACACCAACTCATGCTTTTGGCATGACAACATCATTTACTAATATCAGCATAAGACTGAGATCCTGATGTGGGCCTCTCTCTGAATCTCTCACTTGAAAGATGGAATCAACTGGTAATAAACCAGACCGATGGTAGATGGAATAGTATACAACCTCAGGCCATGTCCTTGCTTAATAACAGAAAGCGATGATGAGAAAATGCAACCTTCGGAAACCATGATGGAAACTACCAACGGACCGCCCGGATCCCGCGCACGTGTGCGGGATCAAGGATGACCGTCGGTAGCCTGAGGAAAGCTGGAGACATTCTCCGCGATCCTCGGGAGGTCGGAGGAGGTCAAGTCAGGCCTCGATGACCCGAGCCATAGGACAATAGGAAGGCACGAAAACAAAGAAATGTAGATAAAGGGAAATGTGTACCTCGGAGAGAAGGTAAATAGCAGATCAGAAAAGCAAGTCAAGTAAACCCAACTGAAAGGGTCATGAGCTGAAAGGTTAGTTGCTGAAGGCAAGGAAACCGTGCTCCCCTTTTGGCGTCTGAGTACTGGTCCCTGCTTGTGCGAGATTCCCCTTGGAGATGTGCCGCCGCCGGGCTGGTGTAAACCGTGGTTGCGTGCCTGGGAATCTTCATAAAAGCTTTGCCCCTCAGGGCATGAGCTGTAGGGCCTTCATCTTTTCAATCATATTTAGGTGCCCGTATCCAGATGTCCTCTTGGATAGTATGGTGGCAGTGTTTGCCTGGACACCGACCTGTCTCCATGTCAACAGTGGGCACTGAGCTTTCCTCAGTGATATTCCCCCAGGCCTGCGGCCAAAAGGGGGTTCAAGCACAGATAGATCAAGCCAACGATGGGCACAGGTAGAGCAGGTGAGACAGAAGGGCACAGAACTAGCAGGCCAATCAATGGGGCACAGACAGAGCAGGCCAATCCTGGGTTGCGTATTATGAGTAATGGGGACCCCTGAGTTTGGGCAGAGTCCCCTAAATATCTGTAAATCCTCAGGGTATCCTGTGACCTATGACCCCTAGACATCAACCCTTTTAGACAGTGTAATACTGTGTGCATAAACCTTAACCTTAAGCCTCCTGTCATGTTATAAAATTGTTTTAGTTGATTCTTCTTTTCCATGAGGACCAATGATAACTCTTGCCGTTATTACAGTCAGGTCTCTAAAGACTCCATACCAGCTGGCAGTTACATTGTCTTGTTTTGTCTTTGGCGGTTGTATTCAGCTGTAATATCCCTAAGTGAGTGGGGCATTCCATTTTGATAACTTGTCTTTAACATCTAGATTGTTGTTATAATAGATCAATATTTCTGATATTATTGTATCCTAATTTAATTTGGTTATAATTCTACAATTGCTTTGCTCTAAAATGTTCGATTAAACTTTGTTTCAACTGTTAAACTATAGGAGTAGAATTTGAAACAGATAGTAAAAAAAACTCATATTTGATTTACATTTCCTGTGATATCTCAGGGAAACTTGCAATATGAAGTTCCCATGAAAGTTAATGTGGACTTTGCAAAGCAAATTAAACAAACTCTAGAGATGGTTTCTTTTGAAGCCAATGCGGCCTTATCCTCCTGAGTAGAGCAGATTTGCAGTTGAAAATTTTCGAATATTATTCAAAATGGTGATACACGAAACTCCATTTACATCAGCAAACTGTATACACTGATGCTTGGGAAAAAATATAAATTTCTCCTTAAAATGGATTGTTACATTTGTTTATGCTTTATTAACTATAGATTTCAGTAAAATGTATTTATGTGAGGATTTATCAATTAACGGTCATGTGTATATAAACAGTGTTAATTTTGGCAGTAATTTTCAATTTAGTTTTAGTCAGTCTTTTGACTAAAAAGCCACTTTGGTTTTAGTCGTATTTTAGTCATCTGAATTGTTTTAGTCGACTAAATCTCCAAAATGTAAGTAAAACATTTTTTATTTTTTTTGGAAACTCTATGGTTGGGTTTTTATTTTTATTTTATTGTGATGATAATTTTTTTTATTTTTTTTTATTTTAATGGAGATGTGCTAATGTACATAGCAGAGGAACATGCATAGATTAGTATTATAAAGCCTTATTAATGTAGTAAATTGTAATTTCAACTCACATTTATTAGAGCCTTTTTAGATATAGGCTCTAAACAAACAGGTGTTTGTGCACTTTTCAGGTGGCAACCAGACCTTATTCTCGAACTTCAAAGTGGTATTTGGATGATGGTATATAGAACCAAAAAGATAACAGTATAGCAAAACCTAAGTGCCGTATATAAATGTTGGTACTTTTGGTATATATCACACTGGTCAGAATTCTTGCTCCTTGTTAAGAGCCTGTAAACATGGCTCTTAGTATGAAAGCCTTATGTCGATATGTTGGGGTGACACATCCTCTTCAGGGCCAGGAAAAAAAAAGATCCTATGTGCAACCAGATGGAGTTTAAAAAGTATAATATTTATTAAATAAATTAATAATGTCTACAAATATAATCATAAAAATATTGAGTCTGGTTAGAACCTCTCCTCTCTGCCAAAATGCGCTTCTCCCTCTTGGAGCTTTCTCAATCGGCCGATACCATCATCCAAGTACCACTTTGAAGTTGGAGAATAAGGTCTGGTTGCCAGCTAATAAGTGCACAAACACCTGTTTAGAGCCTATATCTAAAAAGGCTCTGATAAATGTGAGTTGAAATTACAACAATTTAATACATTAATAAGGCTTTATAATACTATTCTATGTATGTTCCTTTTTGTTTTTTGCTTCCATGTTTATGCTATCCCTTCAAACCACATTGAAGGGTAAGTGAATACTTGTATCATAGCACTGCACTCTTACTTGGGAGTTTAGGTGGAGGGATTTATCATCTAAACACTGAATTCTGTTTGTTTTTTGATTTGTTCTTTCTTAGTTTATCACACATGCTGTTAATTTGCAGAATGTGCTACAGATTGTGGTTTGAAGAACAGCTCAAAGTGCAAACCTCAGTGTCTTGTTGGATGAATCCACTAGGTTTTTGGTTTTCTGGTAAGTTTGCTGGAAGCATGCAGGAGTTTAAAATGCTTCTCTACAGTCTTTTGCAAATAAGGCACTCCATAAAGCAGACAGTCGTCTGTACCACTGGCATCTGTAATAGGGTGGCAGTCAAATGAGTCAATTCTTCGAGGATCTAAATATGTATGTGAACGCATAAATTTTTGCTCAAATGGTTTTGCTTTCCTTATACTAAGATTTTAGTGAATAAGTCACCAGTCCTTCAGCATCTTCAAAATAAGGAAGAAACTGGAAATTGCTGTGCAGTTGTGTAGATGGCATCCCCAAGCTCACCGAGGCTGAAAGTATCTGGTCTTTCTATGGGTGTATAATAAAATAGTGTTTTTTTAATTATAGGTCCATATACTTTACAAGAGGTGTAATACTGCTGCTTAGTAGATTTACAAGACATTACTCTGCTTCCTTGACAGAGGTGGACTGGAACAAAGGTTGATTCAACAGACCTAGTTTGTCTAGTTGCAAATTTTGGCTACCTGTAAATAATTCCACCCCTTTTCATTGAATATATCCAAGGAAAGTAACAATATGGCGACGTTCTGAGCTAGGCAAAATGGCTGTATTGAGCTATGTTTAATAAGCACTGGAAAATGTCACCTGGGCTGTCCGCTTTAGTATTGCTGTGTATACAGAAAGGGATGATGGTTCCTATTGTGCATTAAATGCAGTAAATATAACCAAAGAAAATGCTAGAGAGCAGTTGGAAACACGGTGCTCATTAAAAAATTTGACACTTTCTTCATTGTGTCTTGGTGTGAAGTGTAATTGATTACCATTGGCCAGTATTTGCATTTACAGAAGACCAGTACCAGGACACCAACATCATAAATAAAGGAGTACAGAACATACTGAGGAAGTAGTATTTATGCAATGAGGGACAATCTAATGCATGGAATAAAGAAATCCCTGTTTAAAACTGT